ATCTCTGATCGCCCTGAGTGACTCCCTGGCTCCTCTTGAGCCTGAGGCTTGTTGAGTCCCGGCCTGCAACCTCCCGCTGGGCCGGGCAGGGCCTGGTGAAACCCTGCAAGAAACTGCCTTATTCCCATCTTGGGTTCTGAATGTGTGTGCATGTGCTTGGGTGTGCTCATTCATGCTGTGTAGATACCGACACATGTGTGCACGTGCACATACACACCTGTGGGCTCTGTGTGCTCACGTGTATACACACAAATCTGTGGATGTGTGTACACATTGCAGGTGCATGTGCACAAAGCCATGTGTGTTCACACTTAAGTGTACACACTCATGCATGTGCTCACACGCATGCAGAACAGTCACGTGTCTATATTCTTATTCTCATGCAAGCACACACGTGTGCATGTCTGTGCACACACACATGCACACTCTTTCTCTCTCACACTGCCCTCTGCAGGCTGGCCTCCTGTTTGCCCCTTTGCTCCTCAGGGTCTGATCCGCTGACCTGCTTGCCCACAGGCCCCGGACCCTTCTGTTTGTTTTGGCAACAAGGTCTTCCTGACTCCCCCACCCTGATCTGGGAGGGCCAAGACTGGAGTTCCCAGAGGTCAGTGTCCACACCTTCGAGATGGCCATCTTTACAGTGAAATGCTAGGAGCCCTGGGGCGGGTGGGTGGAGGAGAGAGTGTCTGGGTTGCCCGTGGTGAGCCGTAATTGTTAGTTAGGGCCTGTTTGAGCTGGAACAAAAGCTGGTGAGGAGGGCTCCTGCCCAAACTGCCCAACTTTGGATAAACAGCCACCACCTCAGGCCTCCGCTGCCCCCAGCACAGTAGTGAAGGTGACCCCACGTCATGAGAGCCCCACTGGGCATTTCTCCCTGGAATGGCCAGGTCAGCAGAACATGGGTAGAGGTCTGTGGGTGGGGCTCTCCTGTGCTTGCCCGGTGGCCTGCACTGGCCTGCCCTTCTGGGAGTTTCCCTTTATTTCCATGCCATGCCTTTGCCCCAGATGGTCCTTCTGAACCCATCCTCCAAGACTCACTGAGATCAGAGCAACCTCATCTCCTTTCCTGCTTGGCCTCCAGGAAGCCTCTGTGGAAAAGCTAAGGAAAAGCTACTCCCCATCATCCATTGTTTTCTTCCCCTTCCTCCTGGTTTGCCTGCGTGGGAAGGAACTCTTCACCCTGTGAGCCCAGGAGGTGCCTCCTACTTCCCTCCAGGTTGCTCCTCACTGTTCTTCTAACAGTGTGGTTATTTGTTACAGTTGATGAACCCATGTTGGAACATTATTATTAACCAACACCCCCAGCTGGCATTTGGGTTCCTGCCAGGTTGTCCTGCAGCCATCACGGAGAATGGCTTTACCACCCTCAACAAATGTGCTCTACCAGTTCATCTGCCTCCTTCCGACAACCTCCGATCTTTTTACTGTCTGCAGTTTTGCCTTTGCTGGAAGGTTCTACCTGGAATCACACTGTATAGTCTTTTTGGACTACCTTCTTTGACTTAGAAATATGCACTTAAGTTTCCTCCACGGCCGTCCCTGAACCGGTGGCCTATCTCTTATTGCTGCATAACATCCATTGTCTGGGTGGACACAGCCTGTGTGGCCATACCTGCTAATGGACATTAGTTAGGGTTGCTTCCAAGTTGGGCAATTAGGAATCAAGCCGTTGTAACGTTTGTGTCCATAAGTTTCTATTGGTTTGGGTAAATACCTAGCCAAAAGCTACTTTTAAAAATAGAGCTTTAGACCCTTTTTACCCATGAAGTATCAGAAGAAAAGTATTCTCCCCTTTCTTCTAGATACGTCTCCAAGACAAAGGAGGACATGGAATGTAAGCTTTGGGTAGATTGAGTGCACTGATGCCCCGGACAGAGATGAACTTCACTCAACTTTCCATTTACTAGTCATGGTGCCTTTAGGCAGTTAGATTGGACCATGGAATGTTTTAGAAAGCTTGACGACAAGGTAATCTGTGGTCAACCACCCTATAAACCAGGTTTTCTTGGAACATTTTTTCCCTGGGCGTTGGGGGTAGGTTACTATGGGTTGCAGGTAGTGGGAGGAGAGTAACTTTGAACTGATTTCATTTTGCCTAATAATTATGTTTTTATATTTCCTCCCCGAGCTTTATAACATTTTCTTGATTTTAAAAGTGGGTTTTTTTTCCCCCCTTGTGCGTGTTCTCTCTTTTTAAAAGTCTTCCATTTATATCCTTCTCAGCATTGTGGTTGTTCTCTAAGCTTTTGTGACCCCAGAAATATCCAGCTTAGTTTTCTTATTCTTGGAGATCATTTCCCTTCCCTCACCTCCGTAAGCTGTTTTTCTCCATGGTGTTTGTTCTCAACCCAATTTTTCCTCTGCCGCCTTCATGCGGCGTCCATTCTTCCCAGGGAGAGAGGTTTAATTTTGCTGGTAACAGACTGTGGTCTTCCTTTACATTTAAATAGTACTGCTGCTTTATAATCACTTTTTATAGAATCACAGTTTGCGCTGTTGCTGGCACACTATTTGCGTGTGCTTGTGTGGGGTTGGGATTACCATATACGCTAGAATATAGGGTTTGGCTGATGCGTCCTAATTATCTTCAGAAAAAATGGAGTGCCTTCCAGAGCCCTCGCACAGTCTCCTATTACGGGGGTGTATTTTATTTTCAATAGCAAAGTACAAATTGCAGAAGACCTGGTCACCTTGACTTGAATCACTGAAGAAAGGGAGGCAGAGGCATTTTATGCGCCTTCATAATAACTTCAGGGGATGTGGACCATTGCGAGGGCTGTGAGGTCATCTGCAAACAAGACACAGAGTGATTCATTTATAGAGATTTTAATAACTTATTACATTTTTATTTTATATAGTTTAAATGGCAGGGGATAAGCTCCCCAGCAAGTGCCTCATACACAGATTAAGAAAGTGCTTTATCTCAAACACCCAGTCAACTTGGAGCACGTTAATCTGGAAACACCCAATTGTCAGTCCTGCCTGTGACAAGTTTGGATAAAATTATCTCGTGAAACAAAAATATTTCTAAAATTAATTATATCACTATTCTAGTGTGTACTCTTATGTATGATGGTGTAGCTTGCTAGGTAAATAGTGTAAATGATTATTAGATAATTCCATTGCATTCCTACAATGTATATATTTGTGTTTTCCAAAACTGGCTTTCTGAGGGGCAGGATCTTCCTGTTGGAACAATGGAGGCGTCACCTTGCATTTGGATATAAGTGATACCTGTTCAAGGCTGACGTGGCTCTTCCATACTCTGTATTGTTCCTTTTGAACCGAAGTGAAACATACAAATCTTTCTCCCATTGGTGGGTGCATTTTCGGGAACATCTGAGTTCCCAAAAACCCTGCCACACACTTCAGGCACATCTCCTTCTTATCTTAGTGTCCTCCCAGAGGCTGCCAGCCCCCTTCTAGGTTTAAGATACATCGGACACCTTTTGAGCTCATCTTTCTGTCTGCACTTAATCCCTTGACTCTTCCCATCTCAAAATGCCATCTGTCCTTCATGGTTCCCGTGACAACAGTGTCTCTGTGCTGAGTGTTCATGTGCCCCTTCAGCATATCATCCTGGGGTTTTTCTCCCCCTCATTTTGTACCCTCTTTGTAGAAAATCTCATGTTCTTGCAGGACTTAGCTTCCACCTGTGCTGAGGTTGCAATAGATAATCCGTAGGCTCTGCCAAGTTGACCCAGACAGTGGGGTATGTGATTGTTGTTTTAAATGTGAATTTGTTGCTAACATTTAAAAATTGGGATGAAATCCAGAATTCCAGCTTCTCTTGAAGAACAGGCTCAGCTGGCAGCACTAGGACGGAGACGTGAGCAGCAGTCCCCGAGAAGTGGAACCCCACCCTCCCATTACCACAGTCTTGAAACTGTTTCCTTTGTCTCCCAGCTCTGACGTAGTGTCATCAATTGCCATTTTTGTTTATCATGATTGTACTATTCTCCTCCATACAATAGAGATGAGAGGGGAAAAATATTTCTTTTGCCCATGTGTCTGTTCAAGAGTGGAAAATAAGAGCTAGACCAAGAATCCTGTGAGTTTTAAACAATGAAGAGAACATTGATGTGTGTGGAAGAGAAGAATATTTTAACATATTTAATATTCAAAGTGGGTTTGCATAAACAAGCCGCAACCTCAGATGCCAGAGCTTACTCAACCTAGATGGTTTGGATGACCAAGTATATACTTTTGTCCACATTTTTTCCCCCCTCTGAAGCCCCAAATGATGTCTTTGGTGATGTACATTCATTGTTTCTAATGAGTACCCAGAATGTGCAAAGGCACTGGGGTACAGTGGTAAGCAAGGCAGACCTGTTTCCTGGCCTCCAGGAGCTTACAGACTGCCACCACCTCCTCCGCCCACTGCAGCTTCAGTGATCAGAGCCACCCATTATCCGATTAGCAATCTTTATTCCATATGCCCACTCAGTTGCCTTTGGTTATGTAGCATGAACACACACTCAGACATAATACCAGGGATTAGGACCCTCTGGGGTCTATTTTTCTGCTCACCAGACTATCTTCTTGCTAAATAGATTAATTTATCATCACTTGCTAATCGGTGGATGGCAGTTGGAATCTGTCCCCTGTTCTGACTGCCCTTGCTGACCCACACACAGGCATGTGGGTGGCCACATTTGTGTTCCCAACCTCTCTGGCCACGCCGGTCTTCAGAGATCTGTTGTGTTGTCTCTCAGTCCCGATTCCACGAACATCCAAGTTTTAGCTTTGTTCTCACTTCTCCTGGAAACTTCTCATGATTGGTTCACGCCCCATCTCCTCTGAAATCCTTTGGCTTTTTTTAGACTGCAGCAATTAATTATATCATGTTTTATAAATATTTACTTATTGATTGCATGAGTTTTGGCAGAGAGCTTTATGGGGTGGTTTAAGTTGGCTCTAAAATAGTTCCTCTTCTGAAGCAAAATGTTACTTTACCATTTCAAATGACTATCTGAAATGTATGGTTTTGTTTATTTCAGGGACTTGAAGATAGAAAATTTGCTTCTAGATGAAGACAATAATATCAAGCTGATTGGTATGAGTCACTTTTTTTTTTTAAACCAAGATTTCTTTTAAGTATTACTGATTAAGTTATTTATTTCTGGGTTATTGGGTTTGGGACTTGTTCATGGTCTGTTTCAAATCCCCACAGGTATTTCTGGATCATTTCCTTTTACCTCCAATATTTAATAATGGTTTTGAACATGAAACTGCATTTTAGTAATAATTTAAACATAATTAGGAAAATGAAAATACCCTAAAGTGTCCATAAAAGGAATTTCACAATCACAAATAAATATTTATTGGCTATGTGTTCTTTGGATTGCTCAAACTTCAGCTTCTCCCTAAATTCAGATGAAGCTAATTTTTTAGGAGTTATTTTTATTTGAATTAACCATGATACTTCTTAAAAACTGTGGAAAATAGTTTGGTTTAGAGATGCTGTCTTTTGCTTAGCTGTGTTTTCTTCTAGTCTTTTTTTGCTAGTGCTTGTTTTCTTTAAAATATTTTATTTATTTCCTTACATCATTGTTAATTTTTAAACAGTATTTAACTTCTCCCCTCAGGTGTAGTACCCATAGTTCTCCCACCACCACAGCCCCCATGATCTATCCACACAGTCCCTTGTGCTCTTCCCTCCCTTGTTTTGGACCCTCTCCCTGCCTCTCCCCTGCTGGATGCCTCAAATCTATGGTCAGCTTGCAAGTTTTGTCTTCTATCTCATCCTACTTTTCAGTGAATGTTGGGGCATCAAAAAAGGAGAAATACAATTCACCTTCTTATTTATCATATAATCTTTATCCAAGTCCCATCAGATAGTGGTGCTTGTACAGAGAGAAATCCCCACAGAGGGGAACTGAGAAGTCTGCTCCAAGGCAAAGGACATTTCAGGATACAGTAAGTCACCACTGGTTCATAATTCAGGATCCACAGACAGTTTTGCTCCCTGGCACATTCCCTAGGAGGACCATTATTTGCCTGTGAGGTTGCTCTAGGCACTATCCCAGGGCATCACTTGTACAGCCAGGTGCATGCGGCATCATCTTCTGTTCTCTTTTCCTACCTCAAACACAAGTAATTTCTTTTCTTACAATGGTTAGAAAAAGACTTCTTAGGAGAAAAGAGGAGGATCTGACTTTTCTACTCAAAGAGGAAATTTCATTTGGCAAGTGTTGAAATCCATGTCAAGCCTCTGAAACATATCACCCAGAGGACCAGTTGGAACCGAGTCCACACCTCACCCCGTAACAGGCACATGGCTGCAGGTGCTTTAGCCTGATTAAGCCTCCCTGACAGACTTGATGAATATGCCCATTATTAGAAGATTAACCATGAAAGGAAACCAACTCTCCCTACCCGCTCAAGATTTTTAAAGAATGTCTTCTTAGAAGAATCTTGGACCATTTGAGATGTTTTCTCTTTATCTGATTGTTTCATGATTGCATTTCAATTGTCCTGAGGGCCAAATAAGGAAGCCTTCATGGAGGCAGATGTTGACGTGCCTGCTGGATCGCTTTTTGGTCTTAATTTCCGGGGTCTGTGGTGTTAAACACAGGAGGTTCTTGGGGGACTGAGCATGGAGGAAAGATGACGCTTAGGGCCCCTGCAGGCTGACCTGTAACTTGTCTTCTGTAGCGATGACAGTGACAGGAGTGTCTCTAAGAGCTGCAGAGTTGGCTGCAGGTTGTCGTCACAGAATAATTCACTTGTGTGGTGCATGATGGGGACTGTTGTCTTCCCTCTCCTTATGACAGAGCCCTAGCTGACCTTGCATAAAACCAGAAAGACAATGTAAGTTAGATGATGTTTAAATGCACAGGCCTCTTTGTTGGTTAGAAGTTTGCTCAGAAGATTCTACATGGACTCATTTCCGTAAACAGCAGAGTGGCTGCAGACTGGCCATGGGGTAAAATTCTGTAGAAGAAACCCTTAAAATGAGATGAAGGATGATGTACCCGAATCGGAGTCCCTGGCCCCCCAGGGGGTGAGTGCAGTTGTTGTTCCCTGGGTCTCTGGAACCATTTTCTTCAAATGTTTCAGGGTCATCACCTCTGGTGTGGCAACTTCTGAACCAGCACCCAAGCAGACATTTCAGCTCATCAGGGCAAAACAGACCATTGCAGAAACCAAATTTCCCAAAACGGCTGGAAAGAAAGCTCTAGTGATTGGGTTTCCCGTCATTAGAATTTTCCATGTGGTTCTCCATTCCCTATGACCAACCAGCCAAAGGGCCCGGCACCCAGTCATCAGAGACACTGGGCCGAGGACCCCTGGGGATGGTGTTTTATTAGCAGAATCCGCATGTCCTCATTATTTTCATGCAAGTTAGGCTGGAGGTGGGGAAGAGAAGGTGCTGGAAGGAAGGAGGGCCTGCATTGGGTGGGTTTTCTTGTCCCAGGTTGGTTGGGCAGTTTGAATCAAATGTCTCTTCAACTTGTCTTTTTGCAACTAGAAAGCCCTGGAGCTTTTTCTCCCAAGGAGTCACCTACTTGTTTTCCAGCGGTGATGAGAGCTATTAGCATTTCCTCTTAGCAGTTTCTCTTTCCTAAAATCATTTGATTCAAATAAATTTGCTTAAGGCCTGGAAGCCATGTTTCAAATGAACTAGAATTAACCAGGAATGAGACTTTACTTAAGCAGGTCTTTTTTCCTCTTTAAAAAAATAAAGCCGTCTGATGTTACAGTTCAGAATCATCTTACAAGAGAAGAGTCTCAACTCAGAATAGCCCTGTGCTCGGATTTCCCAAAGCAGCCTGCACTGGGGCGTTTTCTGAGATTCATTCGGTAGCTCTCAGAAAATTGAGTGATAATTGGCTTCAGTCTAATTGAGGCAGACCTGTGTGACATGACTGGGAGGCGAACTTCTCTCTAGTTTCACAATTCTAATTATAGGCATATGTGTAAAATTTTAATAATAATAATTTTGCATGGGAGCCAGACTGATGATTTCTCTACAATATATTTTAAATTAAACCCTCTTGGCTAGGTCAACACCAGGCATTTAAAATGCAGATTTTATCTCTTCCCCAAATCTTCTGCTGGTTTATCTTCTTAAAACTGTGTTTAAGACCAGCAAGTCTCTGTGTTCCCAGGCTTGCATGGGACCCAGGGCTGGTGACCTGGTTTACCTCTTCCCCCTCCTGCCCATCAGGATCTTGTAGGGATCCAGCCCTGGAATTCAGGAATCAAACAGGGGACCTGTTTGTTCTGTGCTGGAGCCTCCCCTGAGATGGGGAGTGGAGTCTTTCCCTCTAATCTCAGAGATCTAGAGCTACATTTTCTGGGAATCCAAGGAAGCTTGAGTCCCTCATAGTGTTATAGGACAGCCCCAATATTGAACGGGTTCCTGGCTGTGGGTCCTCACCTGCGCGCTTTAAAGGGACTTATGAATACTCTACTACAGACACACACAAAAAAGGTTAATAAAAGGTTTATTTACAAGGGAAAAGGAAATAAGGAAAATGTACAACTCAGGGAGAAAATAGGGAAATAAATTCTTTAATGCGTCCTACCCGATCCGCCGACCTGGAAACCCAAAGTCACTCTCAGAGCTGGCCGGACGCTGTGAGCTGGTGGAGAGCCAAAATGGGGGACCCCTCAAAGCCCACATGTCTGCCTTTATACCAACCTGGCTGCTTAACCCCACCCTCAGGTCCCAGCCACCTTCCCTTGGGTGGTGATGGGATTTGGAGTTCCCAGTGTCTTTGGCTTTGGCCTGGGGTGGGGGTGGAGTCCACAAAGCCTGTATGGAATTAGCTTTAGGACAGCCTTTTCCCCCTAACAATAGGACTTATTTATAAAACTTTCCTTCAAATGTTACCCCAAATAATAGCATATTTATCCATGCTGCGCCTTCCATCTGACCATAGTAGGTCTGTTTATGCATTTGTTTCATTAACAATCATTTTGGTTAATTTCCAAGTCCACAGCATATAAACAACCACCTAGTTTAAAGCGAGATGATTTTCTTCTAAAATATTCACCCCTCCCCCCTCCATCTGCAGGGAGTCTGAGACCAGGGTCTTCTCACCCTGAGGTCAGAATCTAGCTCAGATTCTTGCTCTTCCTAGGCAGTTATGTGGGGCCACCTGGTGCTGGCTGGGACAATGGGGGGTGTGGGGTGTGGAAGGAAAATGAGTTCAAGTAAGGGTGGGGGTTGAAGAGAAAAGGGGCCAAGGAAGAGAGGAGAAAGGTTAGGACAAAAAAAAGATTTTTAAGAAGTGAGCTTGCAGCCTCCCCCTGGTGGGTGTGCCATTCCCTGGGGTGGCGTCTGCTTCCTCATCCCCAGGCTCAGATTCTGGGGGACCTAGGAGTCTCTGGAGCTATGCTTGGATGGGGTTCTATTTGGAAACACTCTTCCATCATCCAGCTTCACCCAACGACAGTGACAGTCAGAGAATTTTTACAGGTGCAGCTAAAGTGGGGCCATGGCTGTGAAATAACGTCCTGGACTCATAACAGCCCTCACCTGGCCCATCTTTCTCCTTTCCTGAGCTCCCTTATCCATAAAAATCATGCACTTTGCAGGTGGAAACATGTTAGAGTCAAGGAGAAAAGCCAGTAATGAAATTCGATAGGAATCCTGCCAAGGATTCTGTGCAAGAGAGACGAGGAGAGGAGCCAGTTTCTGACGGCAGCCCTTTCTCACCAGCCCTGTGGGCTGAGCGTCTTCTGTTTGGGGATGGGACCCATAATATTTACATTGAAGTTCAAAGGAGGACCCAGGATCTTAGTTCTGAGATCAACAAAGATTGAGGGGAGATATCAGATGAGGACATAACACTAACAGCTCTCTAATTACCTGTCAGTTACGGTATCCTTAAGATCAAAAGTAAACAGGGCACCAAAGGCATAATGGACCCCGCCTGGCTTTCCACGCTGTGGGCTTTTCTCTCCTCTCCCCGTTGCCTTAATCATCCGAGAACAAAGCACAGTTCTGAGGTCACTGAGTCTAGTCCTCAGTGCGATCTTTCTGGCGTGATTTTTCCAGCCAGCACTCAGCGTTGTCTGATTGGTGAGGTGCGTTTTCATGCTCCTCGTCAAGTCACTATAGGTTACTACATGCACTAGGAGAATTTTTAAGAGACTTGCATGAAATGAAAAAGTCAACGGTGGGAAGGGGTGCTAGCTGGGGTGAGGCCCACACCAGCCAGAGAAAAGGGATCGCCCTGGCATCTGGCCTCGGGCAGCCTGGCCGCTGGCTCCAAGACCCTCTGCTCCTTCCCGCTTGGTGCCTCAGTCCTAGAAAGCAAAGCCTCTCTTTTTCCTGGATGACTCTTCCAAGGTTTGATGAAAATGTTTTGGGTCAGCCTACTTTTAGCTCCGGCTGCATTTTACAGGGAGGTCAGATCTCAAATGTTTCCAGTTAAGCCAGGCAGCGACCGCCCGACATTCCTTTGTCGTGAGACCCGGGTCCAAGGTTATGGTTCGCAGCTGTTGGTTTTCCACTTGGATGCTAAATGAGGTGCTAGCTTGAGAAAATGTTTCTTTTCCTGCTTTAAAAAAATTCCTCCTCCTTCGTATCCAGAGTTTTCTAATTCAGAGCCGGTTTATCTTCCCTTCTTTGCAGACTTTGGTTTGAGTAACTGCGCGGGGATCCTGGGCCACTCCGACCCGTTCAGCACGCAGTGTGGGAGCCCTGCCTACGCTGCACCCGAACTCCTGGCCAGGAAGAAGTATGGCCCCAAAATCGATGTCTGGTCCATGTAAGTCCTCATGTGTATAAGATAGAGCCCTCCCTCTGTTTCCCTTTTTGACGTCCTGTGAAATGAAGTTTCAGTGTCTGAGGAGAATGTGTTACATGACAGGCTCAGGGGCCTCCACACTGGGGTTCCCAGGTCAGTTCTCCACTCTCTCCTTCTGGTCTTTTCCCCATTAACCTCCAAGAGACCTTAACCGCAGCCCATTTCAGTGCTGCACTCGGGCAGCTCGTGATCTGGTTTCCTGAGTCACCCACCTCTTTTCCTCGCCTGAAGCCCTCACATGGCCTTGCAGCAGCACCAGAGTAAACACAGTCTGGGTGCTGGACGCTTGCTCTGGGCGGGACTGGCCGCTGCCCACTTCCCCGGCCTCCACCTTCTGTCCCGCCCTCTGCGGCGGTTCTTCAGACTCAGTGGATGCTGCTTCATCGTCCCCATCTCCGGGCTGTGTGCTTCCTGTATCCTTTCCTGGAATGTCACTTCGCAGTCTTGCCAGTGACCTGCCCATCGCCACGTGCAGGCATCTGTCACTGTCACCACTGCGGAAGCCCTGTTTGCGTCACCAGCCCACAGGGTCCCAGGCCTCTGCTGCCTCACTGTTGTCATTTCCTCTCCAGCACCCAGCATGGTCTGTCATTTTCTTGTTACTCTGTTTGTTGTCTGTCTCCCCATTGGAAAGGGGGCTGCGGAGGCGGGGAAGGGGCACTGGCCCACATCACCATTTCATTTCCAGTGCCAGGCATGGCACGCTTAAAGCATATTTGCAGACGAAAGGAATGATAGGTCCTATGGGGCCGTGGCCGGTGAATCCAGGTCTCTCGAGGTCTCCATGGTGCGTGAGCCCCTCCTCGCCATCCGTGAGTGGGACAGGGGACCCTGCAGAGTCACAGCTCCTGGGTCGAGAAACGGGCCCTGGGAGCACAGACTTCGGGATCCCGATTGAGATGCAGAAAGGAGAGATGTGGGGGGCTCATCTGAACCAAGGGCATGTGATCCAAGTCACCTCCAGAGTTGTTCACCGTCTCTCCACCTGGCCTGTGTTAGCTGCAAGGCCTGTTGTACTATCATGCCATTCAGTTTGTGTGGTAACCCCATGAAGCCGTTATTCTTGACTATCACTACTTCACCAAAGAAGAAACTGCTCATGAGAAATGAATAAAATGTCCCAAAGTCACAGAACCACTATGTAGAGCTGGGATTGAACCAGGCAGCCTCCCAGGGTCTTGCGATAAAATACCCTTACTTTTTTTTTTTTTTTCGCAGCTGTATGCATACAGTTTTATTTATTTATTTATTTATTTTATTTGAAGAATGTTCTTTCTTTTGTGTTATTTAGTTTTTATGACTTAGCTACAGCACTGTATGTGAAGGTTTGCAGCACCGTCTATGATTCAGGGGAATGAATAGGGTCAGTGTCCATCACCACACCAGAAATCCCCATACTTGAGCACGTACTTGAACACTTGGCTTTGCCGGAAGCCATTCTTCCTCTCCTCCATGCACCCTTTAGCTGACTCCACACCGTTTCCCGCCTCTGGGATGCCAGTGGGCGCCTGCCCTTGCCGGCACTACTCCCTTCAGCCAGGGACATCTTGCCTCAATGTACCCTTTCCCTCTGCTTGAATTGGATACATTTCCCCTGGGCAGCTCTCCTGCTTCCTGTGTCACCCCAGTCCCTGCTCTCTGCTTCCCTGACCCTCACCCCTGGGGTCATGGCACACCGCCTGCACCCCTGGACTGCACCCCTGGACTGCAGACTGAGCAGGGACCACCGGGCCAGAGCTTCTTCCACACCTGGCAGGGGGCCCACGGGAGGGAGGTGTGAGGAGTCGGGGGAGAAAGGGAGAATGAAGAGGGAGAGATTTCATCCAGGTGAGCAGAAGCTAGGGGGCTAAGGGCTGAAGTAGGCAGAGGAAGCACACCAAGGGGGGGGGCTGTGCAAGCCTCAGCGGGGGGTGGGGGTACGTGGGATTTAGGACATTCTGGGTAAAGGGTCCAGAGACCTCAGAGACACACTCTCCCTGGAACCTGCTGGGCTCGCTCAGCCAGAGGGCGAAACAAGTTAGGCAGGAATCTGCTTCCACTGCTGAGTGCTGGGGGCTAATTATCCTCTCTGATCCCCAGGCCAGTCTGTGAGTCTCTTCCCCCTTACAGGTAGGAAGGCTCAGTGGTTAGTGTGGCACAGAGGCTCTAAGGGGTGGCGTGGGGGTGCATGCAGGGTGGCCCAGGATGCCTTTTCTTCAAGGTACCCCGATGGCTTGACCAGCACCACTCATCTGGCTGATCCAGAGTCTTCAACATCCTTCTGCACACAACCCTCCAGGCAGGGAACGTGGGATGAGACCTGTCCTGGCCCTTCATGTTTTCTCAAAAGTGCTTGGGCACGACATCCTCCCTCAATACAGGCTTATTGAATGGATGAATTTGACTTTCTTCCCTTAGCACTCAGGAAAGTCATCTACGCTAAGTGGGAGGCTGTGAAAGGGGCAGTTTGTTTACCAGGAATAAAGGAAAGGATGGAGAAGAATGGGGACCCCAAAAATTGAGCTTCAGGGTGTCATGTGGCTGTAACAGTTGGCTCCTGAGGTCCTGCTCTCAAGGGCCCTGCACCAGATGGTATTGTTGCCTGTCGTCATGGTGACAAGGCTCGGCCTGCAGTAGGAGACCCCTTTCAGTGCATGAGTGGTAAAGCAGACGTCTCCCCAATGTGTGGAGGGACTGGTAGGAGGAGGGGTGCTCATGGGCTGTGGCAGCTGTGGGAGAGGGCCCAGGCCTCCACCCCACATGGTCTCCCTGTTCCCGCTGCCAACTGCGGTGGGCCCACACCACTTACCACGTGACACACGGGCAGCCCCGGCCGTGGCAGGCAGCCCCGTCAAAGGACATTTCTAAGCTCAGATTTTGTTCCCAACCCTCTACCAAGTCCTGTGGCCTGGGGGAGGGTCCAGATGTGAGAGGCCTCGTGAGCACAGTAAAGGGACCTGGTCCATCGCATCTGCCCTCTCCCTACCCATTGACCAGACTCAGCGGCTCCCCCAGGAAGTACTGTGGCACCGCGGGGGTGGCACAGAGGGGCAGGTCGGCGTGTCCGACAGCAGCTAATGTGGGTTAGAGCCAAGATTTGACCTCTAGTCTGTCTCTTAATCCTCACTCTCTACAGCTGTTGTTGTGCTTTTTCTGTAGGGTTTACATTCTGTTGGGACAGTCAATGTATTAAAAAGCCATAAACAAAGTATGGTAACTGCTTTGAAGGAAGGAAGTGGGGTGCAGGGAATGAGGATGGGGGTGGCCTCTTAGGGAACTGACCTCAAAATCAAATCCTGAGGCAGATTCAACTGTGGGAAGAGGACGGCTGCAGGCAGAGGAAATAGTGTATGAAGGCTGGGAGTGGGGGCGTGGGAAGGGTTGCATTTTACCCTAAGGGTAGTGGGGAGCCATTACTTGTAAGCAGGGGGGGTAATAAAATGTTAGGATTGAATTGTGCCCCCAAAAGTTGGAGTTCTAAACTCCAAGCATCTCTGAAAGCGACATCATTTGAAGAGTAGGAATTTGCAGGGGCAACCCAGTTAAATTGAGGGCATAAAATCCAACATGGCTGAAGTTCTTATGAAAGGGGGACTTTGGACACAGAGAGACACGGAGATCGCCATTGACTACAAAGATGTCTACCAGCCAAGGAGTGCCGCCAACGGCCACCAGCCCCCAGAGGCTGGAGAGCAGTGCAGGCCAGGGTCTCCCCACCAGCCTCAGAAACGACGCTCTGTGTCTTGGGCCTTGAGCCTCCAGACCTGTGAGATGATACGTTTCTGTTGTTTAAGCTCTGCCCTCCAGGGAAGGTCCAAAGTAACTGGATGAGGACAAAGTCACCGCTGGAAATCCCAGGACCCACTCTCCTTCCCGGGAAGCACAAGCCGTTTCCTTTATTGAAGACACATGGACCAGATCAAGTGAATTCTTGGTCACCTGTCACCCAGCAGAGAGCAAGACACCGTCAGCGATCCCACAGAGATCACCGATGATCAGATCCTAAAATCGAGTTCTCTAGTGGCTCTGTCACCTAAATGTGGGGCATTATCAACTGTGTGAAAACCAGAAACAGAAAAGTACAAAATACGTAGTTTTGTGCCCACTGTGGTGAAGAATGTCCCGGGGTGGGAGACCACGGGCCCGCACCTGAGTGCCTTGTGGCGATGTCTCTGTCACTTCTGCTCGTGTCCCTTTGGGCAAAGCAGGTCTCCTGGTCAAACCCATTTGAGAGATCAACTCCACCCCTTAATGGGGGCAGGAGGGATAAGGAATTTGTGGCTTTTTCTTTTCAATCTAGGCACTTATCTAAGATGATGTACTGGCTGTGTTCCCTGAACATGTATATGGTGAAACCCTAACACTCAATGCAGTGGCATCTGGAGGTGGGACTTTGAGGGGTCTTCAGTGTGGAGTGTCATGATGGGATTCGTGTCCTCAGAAGAGACTTGCTTGCTTATGCACAAGTGGGGACAGGGTAACTAGGTGACCTTCTGCGACAGAGGACGAGCCTTCATGGGACCTGCCATGCTGGAGTGCAGATCTCAGACTTGCGGCCTCCAGAACTGGGAGCAAATAACTGTCCATTGGTTAGGCCGCCCTGTGTTGACTAAGACGACATGTACCTCCCTGCCAGTCTCACCAATTACAGCAACGACAGAACCTCTGGTCACAGTGCGGAGACCAGAGGAGACTGTACAACTGGCTGAATTGAAGAAAACTTCAGAGGAGGATTTGATCTGCTCCTGATCGAGGAGGGGAATTTGCCAGTTGGCATAGAAGAGATAGCCTTTCCAGACAAAGGGAACAGCATATGCAAGCACAAGGATTACTGATGACTGTTGCTCTTCATCTTGGAGAAACCTCACACTTCAAGCCTTGTTTAAGAATGACTTTTTCACTGCTTGGGGTGCTGTTTGAGATCCTAGTAAGCTCTCTGTTTTGGTATCCGTGATCACTGGCAGAATTGGAAATAGAAAGCC